CGCAGGTCCCTTGTTGATGAGGTATGTCCCTCCCTCCCCTAGCAGTTCCCCTTAACTACCAATCCCACCCCCTCCCCTAACAGTTTCCCACTACTGCCAATCCCTTTCTTATAGTATCATAATTGTTCAAGGTCCACTTATGAGTGAGAACATACGGTGCTCTGTTCTTTGTTTCTGTGATAGATCACTGAGTACGATTAAATCTAAATCCATTCAAGTTGCTGTGACGTCCATATGTGTGTTCTTCTTGATGGCTGAGCAATATTCCATTGTGTATATGTACCACATTTTTTTATCCAGTCCTGCTTTGATGGACAACATGGCTCGTTCCATGTCTATGCTATTGTGAATACAGCTGCAATAAATATGCGTGTGCAGGTATCTTTTTGTAGAATGATTTGAGTTCGGGAGCATAAATTTTACAATGTCATCATGACTACATACTGCCTCTGTCTTCTTTGTTCTCTAATTCTTGAAGGAGAGGTATAGTGTAAAAGGACTACACAACCACATTGTCCGGTAAAAGGAATGCAAAATTCATAATGAATGCTTTCACGCAATGAGAATGTGATATTTTATTTATACCATTCTAGAATATAGGTGTCTTTCTTGAGCATCCCGATAGAGAGTGTATTGTCTGTGTCCCATAGGAATAATCATGAGCAAGTGCTCTTGGCAGTGCACTTGATCTTCATCTGATCAATAAGGCATGATGAGGTTAAGTGACTGCTGTCAGGAGGCGTGTGATTTATTCTCCTGTGCATAACCAGAGTCTGAAGTCCATCTTTGGAAACATTCCATAAGCAGCCCTTCCTTTTGCTGGAGAGGGAAGAGTCACATGGACATTCAGTGAGATTCTTATTTTTGAAATCTAATTCTGCCGGTCTGCTGATCGAACTAATTTATAGGAGATCAAAAGGAATAGGAAGTAGGCGTGGAAAGTGCTGTCACATATCCTAGCTGCTCTGCTTCAGTTCTGAGATGCCGACTTTCAAGAAGCATGGCCCATGTCAAATTGCTCAGTAATATTTACCTCTCATTTTTTCCGCCCTATCAATAACTAGCTCTTGTCATCCTTAAAGTGCTTCTCAAACATTAAATAATCTCAGATTACACACTCTGTTCTTTGCATTTATCTTGACCAGCTGTCATAGAAGGCAATTTATTCCTTCTCAATTTTATTCCTCTTGGCTCCGTGTGGCTCCCGCAGTAAATTTGAATGGAAATTGAAAGGTACAACCTAGTGTGTTTTGTAACAAGGGCAACACATAATTTTCTTTAAGCAGAATGACCTTCAGATTGCTTTTAAATTGCTTGTGGTTTCACGTTGGATATTCAGAATATATTTTCATCACCTTTGAGTCTTAATTCTTATGTGGAAATTTTGAGGATAGGAATATTTTAGAAAGGACAATAAGAAACATAATTTAGTATTAACTTTATCATTTTCATCTACTTAAAAATGGACCACAATTGTGTTGGCAGAATCATAACGTGGATAAAGATTTGGAATTCATGCTATGTCCGTTGTTTAAAAAAACATAAAATGCCATATTTTAACTCAGAACTTGCATTACTTTCTGAATTTATGTAGTTTCTCATTTTGTGGCTCAAAGGAAGGAAAAAATATATCTAAAAAGTAATGCTTCTTTTTGAATTGCCTACCTTTTAAAAATGTGACCAGGATTCAGCTAATTAGTATCAAAACTCGGCAAACTTACTCAAGATACCAAGATACCAAGCAGGTATCTACAAATATACTCTGATATGCTACTCGCTGAAGTAAATCTGAAGTGCAGAAGCAACTCACATGTTCTATATCTCAGTGCTAGTAGGAAGTCTACCAGAGGTTAAGAAACTGGAGATTACAGCATCAACTTTCAGACCACTCCAAAACACTCATAATTCGTTTACTCTCCTGCAAATCCTTATTTCAAAGGTTTGATTCACTTGTAGTCCCACTTGGGTCTTAAATCGAATTTCATAGCACTTCTATCCTTTATCCATTTTCAGAACTACCATTAGGCATGATGGAAATTTGGCACAAAAATCAATGAGAGGATACAATATAAATTCAGTCTAATTTTTCCTTCGTTGAGCACCACCTCAAGTACACTCTGTGAAATCTGTTTTTTAGAGGTATTTTTCCACCTTGCTATTATCTTCATCAAAATGAGTTCATGAACTTGGGATGTGTAGTCCCACAGTTTTTTTCAGAAAAGAAAGGAGATTTGTTGCCACTATTGTTTATTTCTACCTGACATCATTTTAAAATCTTAATTAAATGATTTTAACATTGATGTTTCTTATCAGATTTTTAATCTTTTGAATATAAATACCTAGATTTATCATATGTATCTAAAAAATAGTTGTCCCAGTTATGTTTGATTATTACTAATTATTATGTTCTCTCTTGAATGTATTTGATTTATTTTTTTCTGAGTAGTCACTGAATCTTATTTAGCTTATTTTTGTAAATAGAGGGATAGTACCATTTTGTGGCAAAATAAGCAAAAAGAGTAAGACTTTCTTAAGTAGAGTACTTAATTTTGCATGCAGGACTTTTATTTCTTCCCCAAATACCTAAAAATTGTCTTATGAGCTGGATTTATACTATAAGCACCCTGTGTCTATATCTAGTTGAAGAATTCAAGCTTTATTTTTCTTGTTGACAGAATCCAGTCTTACTGATAATCTTTATACTACAATAAAATAACTTTATCTGCTATAGCTCATCTCTCTTCATTTTGCTGATGGGGCAAAACATCTTCTACTTATGTGAACAAATTCTAGTGCATATTCCTCTTTTCTTGCATTACAAGAAACAAATTAATCGATCAGATAGAATACAAAGGAAGTCATAGAATGAAACGTACCAATCTCTTTCATGCGATGTCGATGCTTCCTACTCAGAAGTGTGGTGCAAGAGTGACTTTCCAGGCTTTTAGGTCATGCAAGGGGGTGCTGGGAGTTAATCTCAATCTCCTGTCTATAACTCCCATGGGATAACTTTTTTTGCTTGACTGTTTTGATGCAAAGCTAGACATAATTGCAAGGAGGAATTGTGAACGCAGAGCAGGACACTGACAGAAGGATGGGTGCCCTGTATTTTTTATTTTTTGAGTTGGAGTCTCACTCTCGTTGCCAAGGCTGGAATGCAGTGGCACACGGCCAACTGCAGCCTTGACCTGCTGGGCTTAGGCGATCCTTCCTCCTCAGCCTTCCAAGCTGCTGGAACTACAGATGCACGCCACCATGCCAGGCTAAGGACAGGAGCACTTTGATTCCACTCAGTCTTCAAGGAGCACAAATCACTGCCTTCAGTTTTAAAAGACTAAAGTCTTCCAATTATTATTTAGCTTATCCTAAGAGTAACTGCAACTACTTTTTCCGATTAGGTAGAGTTTACTTTGTGAAAAATGTTAATCAAATTTGAATTGAGGTTTCCTTTTGGATCCAACACACAAAAATGTTGCAATCTTGAGTTAGATAGTAAAATGGAAACAATTTAATCATTTATATTTGAATATGATTAATCGATTTTTTTCTTTCCTGATATGTAATTCTTAATATAGACAAAATGTGGTCCATATTAAATACATATGAAGATACTGTTTAACTCTGCTTCTGGCAAAAATATTTGGATTGGTAAAAACTTTTCTCTCTTAATATTCAATTATTTACTTCACATTTGGGTAATTTGGGATTGAAAATGCTATGAAAGTCACTTTAATTTTCTGACTGATCTTCAAGTGTACTTAAATGTGACATGAAATCGTTGTTTCAAGTGATCTCTAAGTTATTGTGAGTCAAGGGCAGCCAAGATAGTCAGCTGTATTTACTCTCCGTCGGGGGGCTTTCTCACCACACAACAGTAGCAACTTCTAAAAGAAAAATGAGAGTTGCAAAATTTTAAAATGTTTATAAAAAGGAAAAGACAATCTGCCGATGGAAAAAATTGCAACATAAAGTTTAGATAAAGAGTTATTAGTGTGTGTGTGTGTGTGTGTGTGTGTGTGTGTGTGTGATTTTATAAACCACCAAAAGGAGGTTTATACAAAGTTAGAGAAAGAAAGCCACAAGAAAAAACTGCAAAGGAAAAATAAACACATAAAAAGGTCATCTCTAGTAATCAAAGCATTGCAAACAAAATTCCAATATCCTTTTATGTGATTGCAAATATATTAAACATCAATAATAATATCGTCTCGTATTGTCAAAGATGAAGAAACAAGACTACCGGCATATAGAATTTCCAAAATACATTAACTTTCAAACACGTACATATATTCTCCAAAGGTATAAAAGTGATTGTGTTATTTGTCTCAGCAATTCTATATTTAGGAATTTCTCCTAGAGGAATTAATATATGCTGAAAAAATGTCTGCCATGTCCCAAGGTAGAAAGCTTTTTGCTGAAATTATGCACTGCCATAAAATGCCAAGGCATGCGGCCACTTAAGTGGTATTTTAAGAAATACATAATGGCAAGAGGGCATAGTATTATATATTGCCTAGTAAAAAGTATAAAGGACAATGTGATGATGACGTGTCAAAAACACATAAATCACATATATAGATTTATGCATACGTAGAAAATATTAGGTGCAAACAGAACAAATGTTAACAGTGGTTATTTTTGCACGATGAGATAAAAAGTAATTTTATTTTTACATTTTGTGAATTTTCTCTGAAGAACATATAAAATCCTAAAATCAGGAACAAAAGTGTTACTGGATATAATAAGATTTCCACACATAATTCTCCTGGGAGATAAGAGATGCTGATTATATGGGCACATGGGCTTCAGGGTGAAGGGTAATTGCCGAGAAAGAGATTAAGTGGTCGTGGGCACGGAGGTACTGTCCTGCCACTCAAGGATTGTGTCCTGTCATGGAAAATGCTACAAACAGCTTTGAAAACTCATACATTCCATTCTGGAGGGTCATCAGTATTTTATTTGAATTTCTAAATTTTATTTTCCTTTCAATGTTTGCTCAGGAAATGCATCCACAACCACAACAGTGATAGACAGCAAAAATGGATCTGTGCCCAAGTCCCCTGGAAAAGTGCTGAAGAGGACAGTCACGGAAGACATAGTGACGACTTTCAGCTCTCCTGCAGCCTGGCTTCTGGTGGTAGCCCTGATCATCACGTGGTCAGCTGTTGCCGTTGTTATGTTTGATTTAGTGGATTACAAAAACTTTTCAGGTGAGATCCATAAAATTTGGTTTTTAAATTAAAAAAAAAAAATTCTTCCTGGTTCTGGCTTTGTTTCTTTCCACTCTACCTTTGTGTGAGAAATAAAGCACCCCATGAACATACTGAGGGTCATTGAAACCTATTTCTTTCTTCCCCTTTTCCTTCTTTCTTTGTCTATTGGACTCACTGATTTCTTTTTCTTTTTTTTTTTTTTTTTTTACTTTTAAAAAATATTTTATTTTAAAGATGTGGGGTACAATTCAAGGTTAGATATACAAGAGGACATGGTACAGGTAAAGTTTTGGCCTCCCTTTGGTCCCCACTTTGCCTGGTTTGAGATCAGGAACCCTTATTAATGTTGTATCCCTACCCCAACCCTGGCATTATCTCCCTATCGCCAATGCCTTTCTTATAGTATTATGGCAAATGTTCAGTGTCCACTTATCAGTGAGAGCATATGGTACTCTGTTCTTTGTTTCCGTGATAGATCACTGAGTATGATCGACTCTAAATCCATCCAAGTTGCTGCGAAGTCCTTATGTTTGTCTTTCTTTATGACTGCATCATATTCCATTGTGTATATTTACCGCATTTTTTTTAATCCAGTCCAATTTCAATGGGCAGCACGGTTGGTTCCATGCTTTTTTTTTTTTTTTTTAATTGTGAATAGTGCTGCAATAAACATGCATGTGCAGGTAACTTTTTGGAAAATGCTTTGAGTTCCTCTGGGTATATTCCTAGTAGGGCGACTGCTGGGTCATATAGAAGGTCAATTTCTAGTTCTTTTAGAAATTGCCACACTGTTTTCCACAGAGGTTGCACTAGTTTGTATTCCCACCAGCAGTGTAGAAGTGTTCCTTTTTCTCCACATCCTCGCCAGCATCTGTTGTTGTTTTATTAATGATGGCCATTCTTACTGGGGTTAGGTGGTATCTCAACGTAGTTTTGATTTGTATTTCTCTGGTGATGAATCATGTGTCTGTTGGCTGCCCATATATCTTCTTTTGAGAAGTGGGATATCCTTATTTGTAAGAGCTATATAAAGGTTGGATGTTGCTGTTTCATAACTATAATGATTAAAAAGCTTGAGTGGAGATTTAGTTTGGGAACTGGTACTTGATTAAGCAGTAATAAAGAATAATTTGTAAGGCTTACACTTGGCAGTATAAAACCAGATTTTAAAAAGAAACTTTTGGACAAATAGAAAAATTGTGTTTTTAAGTCTTTCTGTCATCTAGCCCCAAGCCTCCTGGATTATCCAGACGTATACTTTGCTCCTCCCACCAAACTATCCTATTTTGATTTCCTTAAAATAAAGACTATTCAAAGGATTTTCCAAGAATTATATATAATGAGATGCTACATCTTGAGTTTTCACTGTCCTTATGGCTTTGGAGTAAAAAATGAATAATACAAGTTAGAAAAGATAGGTTTTCATGATGGACGATTCAGACTTTGAATACATTGTCCATTTCTTCACTTACTTTTAGCCAAAAGGCCGAGAAGTGATTACATTGTTCACTTCTTTGTTCAAAGACTTTTTAATTTTTTAAATTATATTTATCTATTTTTACATCTGCCACCCTCTATTGACTGTGAGTTCCTTGAGGAAAGGAATCAGTGAAGTGCTCAGTAAATATTAAATGACTAGATAAATGAATTTATGCTTATCACTTTTTACCACAAGCGAAAACATTTCATTAACCTTTTAATGTGCTCTTTTATATGTACTCTCTTTTTTTCTTATTTTTCTTTCTCCAGTTGTAGTAGAATCAATAGGACCCAGATACTATAAATATTGTAAATTGCATTCTCTCTATTTGAGGATCTCCTGTTTCTCGTTATGAAACAATTTCTTATCCAGTGTTTATTAAAGGTGTCAGGCAATGACTATGCCACAGATGCCAGAAATATCATATAAGTATCATGAAAACAGAACTCTAATATTTGGGTTTATTAGCATGGAGGTGTGTTTGAGATGACCATGCCAGCTGTGTCACTGGTAGCTGCACTAAAGTGGGCATCGTCTAACAGGTGAGGAGTCCCATAATTGTCAGCCAAAGAAAAAGGGCATTTTTTTCAGAGTCATAAATGTCTGCTCTAAATAGGCAAGACTTTTGGCATACTGTGTAATGTTGACCTTTTAAAAAGCATACAGTTGAAATACTTACAATATAAAGTAATGACCTAGAGTTTTAAGTTGACAACACTTGGTTGCACTACTCTAGGATATTTCATTTTTCTTGAGCCTATATTGACTGCAGTATTTCTCTATTTGGTGAAATGCTAATAACATAGGCATTGTCCATAGAACGTAATTATAGTTGCCCAATGAAAGCTCTACTGTGGATTATAAGTATGCTTTATATTTAAGTAATCTAATCTAAAAACCTAATTATAGGTAGCTCTGCATTTTGTAAAACAAGAACAAATTTCTTTGAAAGGAATTTTTGTAGCACACTTACATAATTATTAACTTCACAAATACTAAATTTACAGGCAATTCTTAAATCTATTGTAAAAATGAATGAACTATATTTTATGATCATGTTTGGATCTAAAATTTAAATAAATTATTGCTCAAGAACAAGTTCAAAATGTAAATGATACTCATGTTTTTAATGTTAATTGTAATTGCTACAATTCAAACTTTTACTTGGGGTTAACATTAGTATCATGATGAGTCTTTTGCACTAGATAACAGTCTTTGAAATATGAAATTGTTAATGTTCGAAACGCAAGGCTAGTGATAGAAGAAAGCTTGCTAGAAATGATTCTGACGACCAGAGAGTCAGGACAGCTCTCCTAAGTCTTAAATTACTCTCTGGCGCTTTAGAAGAGTAGGTTAGCTCTGCGAAGCCATTAAAAGATTATTCATAGGGAAATGGAAATCTGTTTTCGCAAGCATGTACTGTACTGGATTGAAAATGACGATTTTCCTCCGGGCAACCGGCATCATTCTTTATTTTCAGAATTTGATCTGATTGCCCAATATATAGTCTACTTGTGGGTCACATGCAGCATTGACTTTTTCATGCTTCATTCAAAAGCCTTGGGTTTACTCTTCAGCTCTATAACCTACAAGTTAACTTCTATTTCCTTGTCTGTGAAATGGGGATAGCACCTTGCTTTCTTTTCTGCAAAGTTTGTGACTTTGGTTCTTGTTATCAAATAAGACAAATTTTAGGGCACCCAATAGGCTGGAGAAGAGTTTTCACTTACCCTTCATTTCTTACTAAATATAAAGTGTAAACAATACTGTGGTATAGCTGTTTTTGATCAGAGTAGTCAAACCATTCTGAATGATATAGAATAGGGACTTGTTATACGGCTTATGAATTCATGGCAGTTGACTAAGTTGTCTATGTAAAGCTGGTGCAATGTGTCTGGCACTGAACAGCAAGTCAACAGGGTGGAAATTGGGACGGGCAGATGGTCAGAATAGGAGACACTAGGGACAAACTGGAACTGACAAGGACAAACTGGAACACTCACCCATCTCCTATTACGACCACGTGGGTGAGCTGCAGGAAAAATTGGTGCCCTCCACCATGGAACTGCACACACACCCCTGGCCAGGATTTGGAGATGCCGAGGAAGCCCGTCCAGCGGGAACCCCAGGAGAGGCAGTGACTGGTGCCACCCCTCGAGGGCAGCCAGTTTATCTGCCAACATGTGCGAAAGCTGAAACGCACCTGTCCTACACCTGCCTACAAAGAATAAACAATAGTTTTCTATTACTTCCAAAGCTCGCACAAATTTCACTTGTGCCCAACAGTTACCCGGAAGTGTACATGTACGGGAATTTGGGGAAATGTAATTCAAGCTCAGTGGGTTGACAGTGTACAAAATCTCCTTATAGGATGAATACATAATTCCACATCTGAAACAGGATATCTGTGAGTAAATGAAGAGCAATTAATAATTACCTCAGGGCAAAAGGCACAAGCCAAGGTGTGTGGTCACCTCATTATCCACACCACCTTTAGTCTTTCCTGGAAGATGAATGTTTTCAGAAACCCCAAGGGCAGACCAAGCAATGTCACTTTCTTAGTAATTGAGGCTAGGGGATCCCAAGTGCTTCTGGAGGTCATGTCCCCAAGCTTCTGCAGACTCAGCCAGAAAGCCCTTCCAGAAATCGGAGAGGTGTCCTCATCATTTGTATCTCTTTCAGGACCAGAATTTATGGGATTTAGTTTAAATCCCTTTAGACTTCCTTTGCCTTATTTATGAAGAGACAACTTTCTTTCTAAACAATAAGAAATGCAAACAGAATTTATAAAGAAATTTCTATAAATGAAAACATCCATGGATGTAAACTGCTTTTCCTCTAGGTCGGAATGTACAGGAACACGTTGTAGTAACTTTCAGCTTTTCTTGCTTGAGAACAAGGACCATAATTTATACCATCATCATCCATAAGAGGAAAACATTATTATGTGGTTGTACCAGGGTGTCTCAAAGCACATTTGATAATTTTTGTAAGCATTCCACAAAATATGCTCATTTCAAACCAATTTTGTATGAATTAAATAAGATGATTTATGTAAGATATACGTGCCTGGCCCATAGGAAGCACTCATTAAATGTAGCTTGAATCTGAATCTTATTACCAGGAAGTAAGATCAGTTATCTAAGAAGAGAGCCGGCAAGAACATGGTAGGAAGCATCAATTTCTTATGAAAGTCTTGCAGACATATCCTGATGTGCCTTTTAAATAGATTTTCTAATGAGGTGTGCCATTTATCTACTGCTCTTGGAAATTAATTTCCCTGATATTTTCCCCCCTTATCCTTGGCTCTTAGCCCAGTAAAGCAGGTGCACTGTTTGTCAGGCTATGAGTTCAGCAGAGTAAGATTATTTAGAGAAGGCCCAGAGTCAGTCAGAAAGTACACATTTAACATTTAATTGTGTATCTGTGTCTAGAGATGCATGTGTGTGTCTGTATACATAGGAAGGCATGTTATTATATTTTAGCAGGCATGGAAGAATGAGAGACTCAATGCAAC